CTATCTATCTATCTATCTATCTATCTATCTATCTATCTATCTATCTATCTATCTATCTATCTATCTATCTATCTATCTATCTATCCTCTATATCTTACATTTTTATAAGAAAAATATATCCTAACAGCCCAAATGAAATGCTGTGTGTTCATTTGCTAATGCCGGTTATCCTGTGCATCCCTCTTCTTCTTTGTTTATAGGTCTGCAGTGGGATAATATGCATGAATCACCAATGTCTGGGGACAATACTAATTTTAGCTGGATGTGCTGGTTAATTCTGATAGATTCTTTTATTTATTTCATTCTGGGTTGGTACATCAGGAATGTTTTTCCAGGTATGTAATAGTGGTTATTAAAAATACTGTATTTTGATGGATGCAATTTTTAAAAATGTAAAGTTAGGGCAAATTATCCTGTAATATCCATGCTATCATTGGCATGTATCTTTCACACTGATATCTATATTTGGTGATTCTGGATGTGGGAAAAGGATAGATTTTAATGGAGTTTAAGGTAACATTATTGAGTTGCTACTTATATACAGAATAACGATTGGTGGCAATGAGAAATAGTTTTTGAAGCATTTCAAAAGTGACCTAATTTAAGCTCTAATTTGAAGAAATGAGGCTCCTTCAAATGTCCCTACGTGCCACTTCGGACTGGTTTTGGATAATCAGCCCTTGTGATAGAGAATTAATATTTATCTTATTCTGCACTGATTAATATGAAGCCAAGTTTATTTTGTTCTACTGGGTCTTGGTTGGATTGGATTGGATTGTCCTTCAACAGATTTTGCTCCTCCTTTTTCAGAGGCTGCTGAAATTATCTGGGAAAGGAGAACAAATAGTTTAATCAACAAATGTGACTTTAATTCTTCTGGTTATTCCCAAGAATCCCAGGGGGAAAAAAAGAGCCGTTATTCTCCATCCCATCCATTTCCCCACTTGTAAAGATTCGCCTACAGCAGCCTAGCTGCAAAGATGCCACTGTCAGAGTTCTGACCAATACCCTAATTAAATCATGACCCTTGAGCCAAGCTTCAAAAGAAATCCAGTTATTTATTATGAGCTTCATGTCGGCACATTCCAAGTGAAGTCAACTCTCACCCCGTGTAATTTACAAGCCAGGTTTGACCCTGTTTCCCCCCTCCCCCCAGTGTGTGTCATCAGTCACATTTGCCAACAAAGCAATTTTGCGGGTAGAGATCACTCCCCTCTGGCCACTATGGGTAACCCCAGAAGATGGCCTCAACAGAGATATGCGTGGAATGTGCTTTTGTTTTTGGTTGCCGTGCCGCTTTGCCATAGCTTCAAGTTAATGTTCCCACCCCCCTTGGCTATGGCAACTTGAGAGCAGGCCAGGGATGCTTTGCGAATTGACATCTACCATGCTATTCTTTTAGCTTCATGGTTAGCATAGTGTGAAGTTCCCAAGAGATGACCTAATTAATTTATGAGCCTCGAAACAAAGTTCAAACAAAGAACATTCATTTATTAGGATCAACATCTTTGCTTGATCTTCTGTGGAGCCTAAACTGGCTTTCGCTTAATTGCGTTTGAACTTTACCCCTCTGTCTCCTCCCTTCTGTCATGCATCATGCATCATATTCAGGAACTAGGTTGTAGAAACGTGAGATCCAACTCTGGCCGAAGGTATGCATGGAATCCTCCCTCGAATGCCAACCTGATGATAGTCATGGCAACGCTTTAGAAGTTGACACAGAAGCTTTTAAGACAGAAATAGAAGGAATTAATTCTTCAAAGCAGGGTGCTTCTTGTTGTGACAACTGCTATGTGGAAGTGTCCATGATCTCACACAGGAACGTATTCAAGTGAATTCTGCAGTCCTGCTCTGTTTTCATAGATTTCATTTCAGATAAATTCAGAAATGCCTGCCTTAGATTTCACATGAATATTTAGCAGTCAAATGATCAGTTGGAATAATGTGGCTGTTTATTGTTTGGGAAGAGAAGAGGATTCTCATACTTTGAAATGTTGAAATCTAACAAAACCCAAGTATTACTTTCTTTAGGCCTGATACTGTTGAGATAATATCAAAATGTTACTACAGAGCTTTTCAATCTCTCTCCCATTTTTGTCACTATTCTCGTTTCAGGGAAATATGGGATGGCAGCTCCGTGGTATTTCCCACTCCTTCCATCTTACTGGTCTGAGCGCAATGGCTATTTCCCTTTGTTGCGTGAGAAGTTAAGGGGATATCTTTTCACCAATTTCTTCTTGAGAAAACAACCTACTTTCCCCGAAAAGATGTGTATGTTTTTTTTAAGTATAAAGAAAATATTTTGATATATTGGATAATGAAAATGTTATTACTGTCTTAGATGAGAGACCAGCTAAAGTGAAATAAGTGTAAACTACAATTTAATAGATAGAGCCAGTAGAAAATAATAAGAAATCTATGATTTTGTCCTAAATTATTTACAAAATTATTTCAACCCTGAGGTTACAAGGCCTTGTAGCTGAATCTCAACATTTTGAAGATGAATATTTTGAATATGTAACCTTTGACTTCTTTGTCTCTGGATTGAATGTAAAATTTATCTGGGTGGTCTGGAAGATTTATTTAGCAAAGGTTGGTTTTGCCTTTGCCAAAGTCAGGACAAAACTTTCCACAGAAAGGAGCCTGTGCAATCATCTCAGTCTCAGTCTTTGATTGACACAGGTAGGGTCTGTAGCAGGGGGCGGGGGCTGCTGGGGGTTCGCACGGGTTCAGGCAATCTACTAGCTAGGATTCTGCCCAGTTCAGTGAACCCCCAAATGCCACCCCTGGCTGGCCACAGCCACCCCACCCCTCCTTGCCCCTCCCAGGAGTTTCCACGCGGCCCGTTCCTCACGCCAGGTAATTCCAGGGTCTGTGCGGAGGCTCGGGGGGGGGGGGGGAACGGGCCTCTGGAAGTTCCAGAGATCCAGAAATAGCCTTATTTCTGGCCTCTGGAGGGCCTCCAGAGCCCGGGAGAAGCAGTTTTCACCCTCCCAAAGGCTCAAGGAAAACCTCTGAAGCCCGGGGAGGGCAGAAAATGCCCCCCCACATGGTGTAGGAGGCCAATTAGGCCACGTCCACCATGGTCACGCCCACCCAGCAATGGGGTAGCGAACCCATTGCTGCAATTTTTGAAGCCCACCCCTGGTCTGTAGGGTATAATTATCAGATATCTGAACAGGGAAAGGAGGACACAGATCATTGGAAAGGAGGTCAAATGGGGAGAAAATGAGTTTAACTACTTGGCATCCACCATAAAAATCACAGTGAAAAGCTGCAAAAATGTACTTAGGACTAAATACACATGAAATTACCTTTTCCAATACTGTTTTTTTCAATCACAATATCCCCCCAAACCTTATTTTCAAGAACTTATGCTAGTGATTATATAGAATTGACAACATGCTTTTCAAATTTTGTGACCTGCAGACCATAATGATCATAGATTTGAAGGAGCTGGATTGAATCTAATTGCTGG